GCGTGCGGGCAACGGAAAAACTGATACGTTTTCTCTTTGAAAAAATTGTTCTTCGACTTTAATTCGGAGAATTGCAGCATTGCCATGTTAAAAAATAAATTTATCAGTGGTAATTCGCAGTGCGTGTTCAATACTTTGTTTTGAGAGTAACTTTATATATTTTTGATAATTCATTTTTCCTTCAAGAAACTGTACATTTGTTTTGCCTTTGTATCCATTCCGTTTAAATTCCGGCCAAATCATTACACCACCCACACCCATTTGTCTTCGAAGAAATGGAAACGAATTTTTTTTTATTGACATTTTTATTTTACTACCTTGATTAAAAAAAGGATTAGTAAAAAAACAAAGACAAATCTGCGGAAGCGCCTCCTAGCGGAGATATGAAAATTCGAAAACTGCCATTGCCGGCTTCACTCAATGCCTATATAATACTGTATCAATGCTGTCCCCATCACGATCGAATATTCCATACCTCGAGAATCTTCATCAGCCCTCAAATGTCAGCCCTCAAATCTCTAACATTTAAGGGTGAATATCGGTTTCATGCTGTCCCTAACTCGTAACGCCGTCACTTGCTTACACAATTGCTCCTCACTCGCTCACTCGCTTGCTCACTCACTTGCTCACTCACTTGCTCACTCACTCGCTCACTCACTTTCTCATAGGCTCGTCATTCACCTACTAGCATTCATTCTGTTCACTTCATCATACAATGGTTAGGTTAGGTTAGGTTAGGTTCTTCAATGTTAAATCATTTCATCAGTCTCTTTTTGCGATTCCTGGAAGATTCTCTCGCTGATCGAGCTGCAAGGTCATTCCGAGCAAAAGAAACTCCTTTTCTTGAAAAATCCCCCTCAACTCGGTGCCCAATGTCCCCTTTCCCCATCAAAAGACCAGTCCAAAGCATAGAAATGGTTTCTTCAATATCTTCGCTAGGGGGTGTTTCCGCAGTTTAACATTGCATCATCATATCCAACACTCCCCCCACTACTGATCTGTGAAGTTTCATCAAGATCGGGCGTGGGGGGATGTTTAAGTCTTACCAAAAATTTGAAGGAAAAATTATTTAAGTATAATATTTGTATTGTTTTCTCACTCTAACACATAGCGATTTTGGAGTATTACGA